GAGAGGGACTATAAGAAGGATGGATAAATAAAACTGATTAGAAGAGAGGCTGTTATTGTATTCTGTTTTATCACAGTGGCAGACACAAGAACAATTACCTTTATGAATTTGTCTTTACATAAAGCAAATAAGTACAAACAGACATAAGTCGCACACACACATGCTTCAGAAACTATTCTAATTTTCGATGGGGCCAAAACAAATCAAGCAAGGCCTGTGTTTGACAAACCCAAATGAAAGCCAATCCCCAAGAGCTTCTGCTAAATTGCTTTGCTCAGGAGCAATTATAAAGGGATCTGTTGATTTTGTTGTTAAGTGGCTCTGATTGGTTGCGGAGTGGCGGGCTCTAATGTGGACGCTAATGCAAAGTGACACGTGTAACAGAAGTCAGAACCTCATCACTTCTGTGGCTATTAGGAAAGATTCTGATGAGATTTTTCACACTTCGGATCACCTTGAGCCTGACGCAACTGGATGCAAACATTCAACACCAACACTGCTGACAGAGCACTGCCTTACAGTTTTTTATACTGGATGGATAATCATTGAAAGCTTGGATAGAGCATAAAATTACACATATAGTACACAGTGTTCAGATCAAACCAATCCCAGATGTTTTCAACTCAACTCCCTCTAAAACTGGACAATAGATGAGACAGGGTAAACTTGATTAACTAGCCAGACCAAAAATCTAAAATCTTAGCTTAGCACAAGGACTAGAAGCAGGGGGAAACAGCTAGCCTAGCTCTGTCAAAAGGTAACAAAATATGCCTACTCATTTCATATATTATTTGTTCAATTCATACAAAAACAGTTGTAAAAACCAACAAACTGTGGCTTTTATTTGCCAGACAATTTTTTTGACTGGAAGTTGTTATTTCCTGGAGACATTTCTGGCTGCCTGGAAACCTCATACACCCAACCCCTTTCTCAGCTTTTTAACCTTTGCAAAAAGCCAGACTAGTATTTGTTATCCCCTGGCTTTCATAGTTAGCATAGCAATGTCAGTACTGAGCTTTTTTATTTCTTGGCAAGAAAGCAAATAAGCATATTTCCCAAATTTTTGAACAATTTCTTTAACTGTCTACATTATTAAGGTCTGATAATATGATATAGTATGATATAGATCCACTACATGAAGTCAGGAGAAAGCTACAGAGAAACCAATAAAAGTACCACCTATACACTTTGTTCCAATTCAATACACCAGCTCTGAGATAAATTTAACCTCAGCGTAGCTTATGATGTTCAAATTGTGTTGAGACTGAGAGGTGCTGATTCAACTCAGAAGGGAATTTATGAGGCTGTAGGTTGTGCAGCTGTTGTATTGGACTGCCTTATATTGTAAGGTGTTTCTGTTTCTGTGTCCATTCCCTGTCTGATGCCTTATTTGTTTCACTTGTCATTCTGCAGCTGAAGGAAGGGAGACAAAGATAACGACTTGGACTACCATGCCAAATATGGTATTAGAGTCAGGAAATTGAAATAAAAGTAAAATTGTCACTTTCCTCTAGAAATTGACAGTGTTTGTCATGTACATGTAAGGCTCTCTCTCTCTCTCTGTGTGTGTGTGTGTGTGTGTGTGAAAAACAACATCTGCAGTTTACCAGCAGTGTTTGCTCTGTTTGGGAGAAGATGGCAGTGGTATCAAGAATACTGTGATGGTGACATAATGTCACTAACAAGGTGACAAATGTGTTAAATGTTCAGAGGCAGGCATCTGTTCCAGTTACAGCTGAAGACAGCATCAAGCTGTTCAAATTAATGTCAATTAAAAGGAGATTTGATCAGGGAAATCAAATTAGAAAGTATTACATTTACCCGACTTAATTTATTTTAATAAAACTCTCTGTCTCTCTTGTGTTCTAACAGATGTTATTTAACATTTTTCCAAATAAACTGTGGGTGAGCTTGGAGGCATTACCAGCTCACTTGCAGTGAAGTTATGATAACATGTCTTTGTATGCCTTTGCCTTCTCAGCAGCTGCTTTGTTTTCATCCAGTATTCATCGAATCACTCCTCAGCACTTCTCATTTAAAATTCTACCCATTGACGACTGAAAACAAAATAAGGAAAACAACATCTTGCCTTCTCTTCAGCGGAGTGTGATGCCTCAGAATGATCAGAAGACGTGCAAAAGGTAAAATGGGGGCGTATGTTTGTGTGTGACTGGTTTTCCCAGATGGACATGTGGAGGGAGCTGTGTGATCGGAGATCTAATAAACCGGTAGATATGCTGCACCGCCTTTGCTGGGAGGGAGTTGTTGCCATGGCAATCACACCACATGCACTGCAGGTTAATGGTGGAAAATTATGATTTGCCAGTTGCAACTAACACAGAATGACTGCTGAATCAACTTTCAACTCTCTGTGGTGGCAGAACGACACGAATGGCGCCGGCTGTGCACTTTTTGGACACCACGAAGGCCTTTGAACAAGTTCCATTATTTGCTTCCGTCAAATTACAAATTTAAATTGTATTTGTATAGAAAGGTTTGCTTTATATTTACTCCTACATCACACTCAATCTACATTTAACCTTAATTCTACTAAAACATTCAAAAACACTTTTCAGATTAAGTAGAAAAGGCTTAAATATTCTTAAATAAGAATCAGGTAAATTTATTATGGCCAAAATATTTCAGGTTTACCCAAAACATTAACACACCCCATTTTTAATTTTCAATATGTCATATTTTCATTTTCATTTTTGAATTGAATGTATGTAAATTAAAAGACATAGTCTGAAGAGTGGGAGCCTGCTGACTGGTCGGGTACAGTTCGTCCACCCATCCTATAGAGCACCATAAAAATGACTTTGTTTCTGCTGGCTGACCAGGAAGTTAGCATCATCCCAGTTCCCTTGACAACAAACCAATGGGATTTTTCCATAGACTTTTGGATTATTGCAGAAAATAAGCTCTGTGACAAACAATTTGTGACACTTACATGTTTTGTTCAGCAAGATAATCTTCACAAGTGACCACAGCTTTTATGAGTTTTGAAGCCCAGATAGGATTACCAGAAGTAAAAAGCTATTGTTAGGCTATAAATTAATTATACCACTGTCCCATGACTTCAGCATCACCAACATGCCTTCCAACTTGTAATTTGATTTAGCCTGCTTACCTTTTCTTCAGAATCCTTCCCTCTTAGTGTGCCCTGATTTTGTTAGCGGCCACGGCTGTGTCAATTAGAATAGATTGCAAGTGCGTGAGTTTAAACATAATGAGGCTATAAAGTCAAAGTAGTTGGTAGATTAGTGTGTAAGCATAAACTTTATTGCCAAGTATCATCAAAAAATACAAGGAATGTGAGTCCAACCCAATGGCTCCTGTGTGTTTGGTGTGATGATGTGTAATATCCCAAACAGCCTCTGTAGTCTCATTTAGCCACTTATTAGCAACCGCCTTTATTAAAACACATAAAAACATTAAAAATCACCAGTGAGGTATTTACTTACATATTTTATGTCATAAAACAAAACATGAAAATGTATTGGCCTTGTGTTAACCACAGAACCAAAACCCATTCAAAAAAGCCACTGATTTAGGGGCGAGGGAACCAGAAATGCAAAAATGCTCAGTTCACTACTGGCACTACATTGTGAACACAAAATCTCAGGAGCTTGAGGGCCACAAACATCCACTCAAGGATGAAGTGATTAGATTTTAGTGGTCCAAAGTCAAAGGTCAAGGTCACAGTGACTTTCTTGTGAATGTGATACGATATGTGATATTTCAGGAACACCTTGAGGGTATTTATTCAAACCTGGCACAAATGTGTGGATTCAAGGATGATGTGACAAAGCTCTCTATAGCAATTTTCAGGCATGGGATACATAGCACTGCTGCCTTCATCAATCTGTTCTGTCATTCAGACATAGGTCACTTCAGACTTACCAATAAATGCGATATGTGTCATGCACGCATGTAATCTTGTGACTGCCTATTCAATAATGTGACTGCATGCAGTTCAGGCTTGTGCCCTGTTCATAGCAATATATAAAGGTTACTAGGTCTGACCTAATAAGATTGCTATCACAACTTTTATGAAAAATGGCCAGGTTTGAAAGGGGCTTATCAGTCCTCTGTACTCCCCAGTGTGCCCCGTTAGCACAAGACAGCATGTTTTTCACTGGAAGTAATTTCCTAGAATAATATGTCGATATGATGTAACTTATAGAATAGTACAATATAGTGATAACATACAACCATGGGGCGGTAATTCTTCTCTCTAGCTACAGTATGGATGTAGAACCAGCCTGGCATCTCCCAGTGCAGCAGTTCAAACAGCAAGTGATGAAACGTTGTCATTTTCACTGCTCCCCTAGAGAGAAAGGGAGGCGGAATGAGAGAAGAAAGAATCCAAACAAGTGACAGGTCTGAAAGAAAAGATGCATCTCTTTTTCACCATAGATTCCTGTGTGCAAGGGTTTGTTTGTGTGTGTATTTGTGTGGCTATTGTGAGGACTGCATTGAATTTGAGAGTAAGCAAATTTTGGGAAATTTTTTTGCCAGTTCTCACATTCAGACAATTTATTCAAAAGGCTGTTAGATGGTCAAGACTTAGTTTCAGGTTTAGGGTTGGGATTAGGTGATTAATTATGATGGTTATGGGTAGGGTAAGGGGTAATGAGTGTCTTCACATACAAACGTGTATGCATGGTATTACTCTTTCTGTTGGGACTGAAACCTGTTTATACACCCACATTATGGGGACTTGGCCTTCCTTATCGGTCCAGACAGCAGGTTCCCACCATGTAAATCACTGAATCTTAGGGTGACAGGTTATGGTCAGAGTCAGGGCTAGGGCAGGTCTCCAGGGAATTAATGTAAGTCGATGTGAAGTCCCTACTAGGAATGGACACACACATGTTTGGTGTGTGTACTATATGAAAGAGAAGAGAGAGAGAGAGAGAGAGAGAGAGAGAGAGAGAGAGAGAGAGAGACTATGTTATCCACTTAACTGCAAGCCATTACATTTATATCAACTCCATGGCACCCAGAAGTCGTTTAATATCCTCACCATAAAAGCTACGAAGTCTTCTCCTAAGTGATGGTAAATCAACCGGTTTTGTTGACATGACGGGTGATAAATAAAGACACGCGTTCAGCGACTGAAGGATTCAAACAATAAGATTTCGTAGGATGCCACTGGCTCCTTTCACTATCATTTGAACTTAGCAGCTCGTGGCCAGCAGGGTGGGACTTTTTTCCTGTGCTGGTGATGACAGAGCAGATGGTGAGGTTACCGGTCTGGGGACCACAGACGCGTTTCAGTCCAGCTGACCTGCACCACCAGGCAGCTGCTCATCACTGGAAGCTGTGCGCTGCAGCCTTTTCACCTCTGAAGTAGGCTATCGCTGGGTCTCCAACAGTGGAGCAGATCCCATTTTACAACTGAGGGGTGTTTTCCAAAGATAAGATCTACTCTTGTTGTTAAGGCTGATTAACAACAACCTATTCTGCACCACTCGCACATTATCCAATCAGTCTGCATGGGTCAGATACTGTAGCTCCAGTCTTTCTCGGAAAGGATACAGCGCTCCATGGGTAAGAATAATGTGTTTATTTTATACATGTGCTGAAATTTCGATGTATATGCCTTTAAAATATCTCAAATGATTTAATTAATTTCTTGCACGGTCGAAAGGGGTGAATTTCTCACCCTGTATAGAGAGAGAAACTCGTAGTGATTTCTTAATTTCTGTGTTTTAAGAAATGTGCTGACGATCAACAAAGATGAAATGAAATAATAACGCGTTTATCTGGTGAGGCTCCGCGTGCCGCGCGTGTTTCTAACGCAAATATAGCTTCAGCACAAACACTTCAATTAGACGGGAAATAAAATCTAACAATTGTTTGTATTTATCGATGACTGATTACACTACTGATCTCACATACCCACACACAGACACTATCTATCTATCTATCTATCTATCTATCTATCTATCTATCTATCTATCTATCTATCTATCTATACACACAGAGAGAGAGAGATCAGAATAAGAAACAAAGGAAACATTTGTGCACTTCAAACTACGTTATCCTCTTAAAAACTAAAATGTTGATGTGAGCTGTGAGTCTCTGAAAAGCTAATGAATAAATCTGCAGTCCTGGCAGTAGCCCTGACATTTCACTACACAGTGACACCGGCATCAAGTAACAATGTAGTGTAACATTTACACAAACTGCCGCATCACTCGCCAGTGCAGAGTGCGGCTCAAACAGCATGAGCAGCAACTGTGGGCTCTTGTGGTCCTTTAAACCTATTTAAGGGTCAGGGAATTGGTATATGTCTGAGACTGAGGACACAGGAGCAACGCAATTCAGTGTTTCTGCTCAGAAGTCTGTGTGTGTGTGTGTGTGTGTTGGGGGGGGTTGCATTGTTAGGGTCACCTTTGTCAAGTGGACAATACCTTATAACATCATATCACTTTCATCAAGGCACAGTGGTAGTCAAGTTACTACACCGTTTTGTTTACAATAGAATGTCACTGTCGTGTTTTCTAGTGATCTCAGCTGCACAACTTTGTGTAGTTCTAGCTTTAAAAATTAATAAAGGGAGACAATTGATCCAGATGTTACTCAATGAACCAGTGCTATGATAACTGAAGAGGCCTTGGCACCTTCCCACAATCTTCACAATGAATGCATAGTGACGTAGCTCCTCAGCAGGAGTGTGAGAACCTGCTAAAACAAAGGCACGACTTCATGTGTCTGCATGTGTTTTGGCAGGAGTCATTGTGGGTCAAGGGGCTAAACTCTGTAGCATGTGCATGTGCTGGTGCTGGGGTTCCCACAGTGGTGGGGAGACAGGGGTGCAACAGCTTGATCTTCTCCCATTGCTCTGAAGGGGAACATGGAAACATGGGCCACTGAAAGGTTTTGTTGGGACTGAGTCAGCTGTTTTGTCATCCTTTGTTTTATCTGCAATAAACCAAAAATGAATTTGTGTTATCGCTTTGCACACTATTTTTATTCTAGCTGGAGACTTTAATCATATTTTAAAATCTGTATAATACTTTTAAAAGGTTATTTTAAGCGTTTTGCTATGAAATCTTACAAGAATAATAGAATTTAAAAACAAATGGATCATTAAAGTTAAACAAAACTTGAGAAAACAACAACAACAACAAAAAATTATGTAGAAGCACATTTATTAAAGCGTAAAAGCACTGGCACAATAATTTAGATTCAGAGGTGAATTGGAAATGTACAACTGACCTTTGTGTTAGTATTCACCTGACATTAGAGACTTTTGCACCGTCAGTATGACTGATTGATGCTCCGGTGACAACACAAAGTATTGGCTTTTCACTGACACTAGCTGAAGTGGATGGGGGAGGAAAAAAATGAAAGCCAGAGAAGAAAAATTGTCTCAAGATCCATTTAAGTTCCGTGGGGAAATAAAGCATCCATATAGATTTGCACTAAATAGAAATACAGAGGCAGTATTCAGTGTAGCAACTTTTAAACCTTAATGGACTCTTGAATGAATGCAGCGCACGTCTTTAATTGAATACATAGTACTGAGTCTTTTCATTGTTCCTTCAGCCCTGTTGTGTTTTCACTTTCCTCCTGTGGCCTCCTAAATGAAGCATGGCTCTCCATCCTCTCCCTCTTTACTTTTTCTCTTCTTTCTGACTGAGTGGACATGCGTCCTTCTCCTCCTCCGCTCTACAACTCTGCCATCAGCAGCTGCAGCCCTGTGTGATCCGAAGTGAGACACTTGCATACTAATGCAGCGGGAACAGGATGTGTCTCAGGCAGGCCAGTGCAGTGAGGACATGGAGAAAACATCAGGCAGCACTACTCAACTTTCCTGCACCACATGAGCTCTGCATTGATACTGACCTGTCTGGGAAAACTGGTGGCTTTTTGCTGAAATCTGCAAATAAATTATTGCAGCATGTTGTTTGCTAATGTGTTTTTTTTTTGAGCATATGGTTGCACTTACTGGTGAGCATAACTATATCAAGCATGTGTGCTCTGTTATTTTATTAAGTGTTTTATGTTGCAGACGCTTTCTTGTATCAGTTGCTTGTTGCTGTATTCTTTTAGCTGCCTTGTCGCACTAATGGCTGCCTTCTCATATTTTCCCATTTGGTTATGAAACACATGCCGTTGGTATGGCCGTTGCTATGGTGATGGCATGTCTGCGAGTCTGCTGTGTGGCTGCCGATTCAGAAACACTGCTTGCATTTTGCACCTAGTGAAAAGAGCCTCAGAATTAGAGGGGGGAAGCTTTACCTTCTATGAAAAAATTATGTGATGAAAAACAGTATGCTATCAAGTGATGCTCTTCCTCGCCGCACCAACATCACATGACAGAGTTTAGTAATAATGCACTAAAAAGGTGGAAAATCAAGTTAATGGAAATGACTTTAAAACAACTTTAGAGACAGAATTTTGACAAGTCTTTCCAAACAAGAAGTCTTTGTAAACCTCTTCCACTGAAAATAGTGACTGCTGCCTGCACAGAGACAGATCTGCACAGCACAGAATTAAATAAAAATGTACTTGACTACAAATCTGTAGTTCTTTAGAGGCTCTGGTTTTCTTCACTGCTCTTTGTATCATCCACATATCCTCTCTTATAAATACAGTTATGAGGCCATAGCATTATGCAGACAAAGCTCATGACCCATAATTCCATCTTGGTCACGAGGTCAGTGATCCTCTGCCTGTTTATAATATCAGCTACTGTAGATATACTTTTATAGATGTTTGTGTTTTATGTTTAATGCATATGAGATTAAAACCTTATAAGGATTGGGTGAACAAAGAGAGTAAATCCCTCCTGCTGGAGGCTTCAATTCAGACAGTCAGCTGGATAATGCCAAGCTGTTGAGGGATTTTTCTGCTTCCTTCTAGTGGTCTGTGCATGCAGGCATGTCATAGTGTGTGAATCAAACTACTGCATACTGTGTATATTGTGACAGTTAAGAGACATATACAGTGTAGATAGAGTGCATACACTCACTGGCCACTTTATTAGGTACACCTGTACAGTTGTATGCATTTAAATGCAACACGTCTGCCTTAACATCTGTGTTTATGAAGCTCAAAATGTTTCAGGTTTTGGTGAAATTGTCATAAATGTATAAATTCAGTTATTATTGAGGTCAAAGTTAAAGGTGGTGTTGTACTGGACTACATTGTATTAAGAGATGTCTCTACATTTTTGTCCTCCCCAACTACATACATGAGAGGGTCAGAATATTACGAACACTTCTGAACATGTGTTGCATTGATGTGCATACAATTGTACAGGTACAATTGGGGGCAGCTGTGGCTCAGGAGGTAGAGCAGGTTGTTTCCTAACTGGAGGATTAATGGTTCAATTCCCAGCTTGTCCGGTTAACATGTCGAAGTGTACTTGAGTAAGACACTGAACCCCCAGTTGCTCCTGGTGATAACACTGATGAGTAAATGGGTGAATGGCCAAGTAGTGTGTAAGTGCTTTGAGTGTGCTGCAATGCATAGAAAAGCGCTATACAAGTATAAGACCACTTACAGGTGTGCCTAATAAAGAGGCTGGTGAGTGTGTGCATACTTGCATTGTAAATTTGGTTCCCTCTGGTCTGTCTTGTTTCAGCCAAGAGATCAGTAATAGTTTTTAAAGACAGTTTTGTGTAGTTTTGTTGCTACACAACTGGCCTGGTCCTGCTTTGTCAGTGAGAGAACTAATCTCAGACCCAACCTCTGTCGCATCCCAGAGAACAAGAGCTCGCAAAAGTGTTGTCCCATTGAAATGATTCTGTACAACATGATGCTATAACAAACCTCATTCCCTCTGAAATATGATCCTGTGAGACCCAGTTCTCTGCTGGAGTTTTCAACAAGCCATGCTTTGAGACAATAGTCAGGACTTTGAAGCACAATTCACGTCATTTCCATCAAGTAATATCATGCAGAATAGTCAGGACTTTGAAGCACAATTCACATGTCATTTCCATCAAGCAATATCATGCAGGTACCAAAATAACAATCTGCATTTACTTGTAGCAGTGATGAGGAAGGTGTTGTTTGCAAAGTATTTTAACAAATCAAGCAGGAATCAAATCCAGCCTGCTGTAAGAAATGCACTTGCACATCTGTGCATCCCGACAGTTAGATAGGTACTGTGAGGTTAATGGAAGTCAGAGGTTTAGTACTGTACTGCAAGAGATGACAGTCATGTCTCGAGAAGTGAAAGGAATTTGTTAATGAGTTGGGACAAATACTGTCTATGTGACAGTATGTTGACTCAAATATACGATATACAATGGTTCGTAGAAAATGCATAGATGCTTAAAAGGTTCAGGACACATGGATATGTTGTGGGCTATGGAAAAGATATTTGCACAGTGTAAATTATGTGTGAAGTTGATGTCTATGTATACTATAGAGAATCTAGAAGCAAATGGAGGCAGTAGGCAATGAAGTGATAGTAGCAGGCTTTTCACCAGTTTGACTGAAGTGGCTTGTTGCTCACCGATGAGATGTGTTTGGTTTACAAAGTTTTGCAGAAAAAAGGTAGTCTATCTGTAAGTATAAAGCTTAACTCCAACTGTTTCATTGGCTCTGGCCTGTGGCCAACAATATGTAGGTACCTGTGAGAAGCTTGGAAGTATGAATATGCATACTGCAGTGATTATGATACTGGTCAGACTCATCAGCAAAAAAATAACATATGTGCACAGCAGAGTTTCCTAGGGTCAATAAGGTCAATGCATACACACAGAGAAAGAAAGGTGGGAATGGATGCAGACCTTCTGCCAAAAACCTAACGACAGGTGCCTGAGTTTTACGACCACAGCATGAAATCAGTGATTACTCTGGCTGTCTCCTCTGATTTAATACTTGAACAGTGCAACACTCAAGCAGTGCAAAGAAAGGACAGACAAAGACATATTTTGCCATATATCTATAAGTGAGTAGCTGTTTGAAAGACATGTGAATGGATCATCTAACAGATTAAATGATTTATGATTAAAGGCAGAATGAAGTGCTTTGCATTCAACAGTTATTTCCAGTCAGGATGTATGAATAGAGTCAGGAAACTGTTTGGGTCCTTGCTGCCACATTTCAGTCACACCGAGGAAATCAGTTAGATCAGTCTGAGTGTGACCGGATGATTGCAGACACCAGCCACCTGATACCAGGTACTACATGCTTTCTTGCTCAAAGAGAGACAAACCCTTAAAACCCTTAAACTTTCTGCCATATATTTTCTGTATTTGATTTACCTCCTTTGAAAACAGTTTTTTGCCATGCTGTGCAGCTCTTCTGGTGTGTTACATTTCTAGAAACAATCTCACAATGTTAGTTTTCTGCATAGTATAGTGTTCCTGTTCTATTTGTTGAGCTGTTCTTCATGCAAATATGGATGAAAAACTGTGAGAATGTGTCAACACATCACTGGGTGTGAACACATGAAAGGAAAGTGAAAAGAATCTATATCTGTTTCATGTTAATATCAGTTTTCGTGTGAAACTAAATGCACCCAGCTCTTTCTCTCTATCTCTGTCACACACTCACACAGACTGGATGCTCAATCTCAGTTTATTTATAAGGATAAATGCAAATTCTGAGTGAGTCAGACATGAGGCTGACACTGTGGTGTTTAGCTTGAGCTGAGTGAGAGAAAGCCAAGAGTTTCTCTTTCTCTTGCTAACGGAAGCTATTATACAAGCTGATTATTCTTTGGGGTTTTTTAGATTAATTGATATTCATGAAAACATTTTAAGATTTGTTGAAAGAAAATGATGACTGCTTCTTCATTGTCAAATCTGCTTGTGGAAACGAAGTCAATACGTGTCATCCCCACAGATCTATCTAAGAGTTGGTGTTATGAATCAAATTACAGCAAAAGTGTAAAATATGATAATTCCTTTGGGAGCTCAGACTGTCAGTCCACTTTAGTCTCTCTGCTTATCTTGGTTTGACAAAACTGAACCTGTGCACAGCCAAAACTAAATTCACTTGACATCTGTATGTCTCACGGGTCTGCATCGTAAGTAGTGAGTGATTAACAGTGAAGAGCACACATTCCCTGTATATTAAGCCTGTTGTGTAATGGGCTCACAGTCAGAACTGCCGGCTGTGCCCAACACAGGCACTCATTCAAGTGGATCGCTGACACCAAGCCGGGATGCAAATAATCTCTACAGCTCTGAGAGAAAAGCGAGTCATATTCTCCGAAGAGACAGATACAACACACCAGGGAAGCAGCGCTAATATCAATCCTATCTTCTTAGATACTGGCAAATACAGTTTGTACTGTTTCATAAAAGTCCATCCTTTTACTTCCAAGTTCATGTACCTGCTAGGGTAAATAGACTTTTTTGGTAATGGAATAGCTAAATTTTATATATGTTGTGCAAAGGGTTGAGATTCCCATGCTGTAACAAGTTACTGTCTTTACATATCTAGAAACGGAACCTGCAATCAGCACTAAACAAAGAGTTAGTGAAGTAGTTCTTGGCACCCACGGCCGCACCCAATTTTATTCCAGGTTTTTCTGAAGCCAGTTATTATTATACTTATCAAACGGTGTCTGTACGAGCTCCTTAAAAAGCAGAATTGAATGCTTACACAATTGCAGGGCAAGGTGACAAATTTGACAAATTCATTCTACCATGTTAGACATATTAAGTTAGGTCCCCTAAATATCCGGTACTTTACCTTTTTACACTCAGATAATCAGAAACTTTGTATGTCTATGTTACATGCTTCAACAATTGTCTTGTTCTTTGTTTTTGCTTAGGTTTAAACCTCCTGGTGTGGAAGTGAGGTGTTGAAGTGAAGTCTGGACCAGATGTTCTTCAGACCAGCCTTCTGCAAATGCTTCCCTCTGGCTTAGAAATCGTCACTCTGTAAAGGGCCTTAAGCAGCTAGCTAGCAGCAAAGGAGACTTAATGCTCACAAACCTTCCATTCATACCTTTCTCCTGAACACTGACTCTCATCTAAACTTTGTGTGAGCAGAGAGAGCAGGCAACATGGCTCTCAGCTCTCTGCTTTGGCCTCCTTTAATCTGGATGTACATGGGATTGCTTCTTTCCTTTCTGTCACCCATACATGGCAAAGAATGTCCTCGTTTGTGCATATGCGAGATCCGACCTTGGTTCACCCCCCAATCAACCTATAAGGAGGCAGTTACAGTGGACTGCAATGATTTGAGGCTCACACATATCCCTACCAACCTGTCAGCAGATACCCAGGTGTTATTGCTCCAAAGTAATGCCATCTCACACATCAGTGGAGAGCTGGAGGCACTGTTCAACTTGACAGAGTTGGACCTATCTCAGAACAACTTCAGCACTGTGGAAGCAGTAGGCCTCACAAGTATGAGCCACCTGACCACCCTGCATCTAGAGGAAAACCAGATCAGTCAGCTGCAAAACCACTGCCTGGGAAACCTCTCTAACCTTCAGGAGCTCTACATCAACCACAACCAGATAAGCTCAATCTCTCCTCGGGCATTTGCAGGCCTGCACAGTTTACTGCGTCTTCATCTTAACTCCAACAAGCTCCATGTCATAGACAGTCGCTGGTTTGAAGAAACACCTAACCTTGAGATCCTCATGATTGGGGAAAACCCTGTCATTGGCCTCTTGGACATGAATTTTAAGCCTCTAGGAAGCCTTAGGAGTCTGGTTTTGGCTGGCATGGATCTCACTGATGTTCCAGCAAATGCATTTGTAGGTTTGGATAGCCTGGAAAGCATTTCTTTCTATGACAACAAATTGGTCAGAATCCCTCAACTAGCCCTTCAGAAAGCTCCCAATCTGAAATTCTTGGATTTAAACAAAAATCCAGTTCACAAAATCCAGGAGGGAGACTTCAGGAACATGTTACATCTGAAGGAGTTGGGTATCAATAACATGATGGAGTTAGTCTCTATTGACCGCTATGCTCTGGACAACCTACCAGAACTGACGAAACTGGAGGCCACAAACAACCCCAAGCTGTCTTATGTACACAGGTTGGCCTTTAGGGACATGCCCTCACTGGAGAGCCTGATGCTCAACAATAATGCCCTCACTGCCCTTTACCAGCACACTGTGGAGGTATTGCCAAATCTGCGGGAGATCAGTCTGCACAGCAACCCCTTGCGCTGTGATTGTGTCATTCAGTGGATGAGTTCTAACAGGACCACAGTGCGCTTCATGGAGCCCCTGGCCATGCTGTGCTCCTCCCCACCAGAACTCAGAGGCCAGAGGGTTCGAGAGCTAAGGCTGCTGGAGTCTACTGAGCAGTGCCTCCCCCTCATATCCCATGATTCCTTCCCCAGCCACTTGAACTTAGAATTGGGCATGAGCATCAGTCTTGACTGCAGGGCTATGGCTGAACCAGAGCCTGAGATCTACTGGGTGACTCCTCTTGGGATGAAAATCAGTATAGACACTGTGTCAGAGAGGTACCACCTGAGCAGTGAGGGGACCCTGAGAGTGTCTCATGTGCAAGTGGAAGATTCTGGTCATTACACCTGTGTGGCCCAGAACCCAGAGGGGGCTGACACACGTGTTGCTACCATCCGTGTAAACGGCACCCTACTTGACAGTGTCCAGGTGATGAAAATCTACGTCAAGCAGACTGATTCCCACTCCATTCTGGTGTCCTGGAAAGTCAACTCGAATGTCATGTCCTCCAATCTGAAGTGGGCCTCAGCCACCATGAAGATCGACAACCCACACATTACCTACACAGCTCGCGTCCCTGTAGACGTTCATGAGTACAACCTCACACATCTTCAGCCTGCCACTGAGTACGAGGTATGCCTAACGGTCTCCAACATTCACATGCAGATGCATAAGTCTTGCGTTAATGTGACAACACGCAGCGCCACCTTTGCCCTGGACCTGTCAGACCAGCACCCGAGTGCAGCTGTGCTCGCTGTCATGGCAACCATGCTGGCTTTTCTCAGCCTGACAACTGTGGGCATCTACGTGGCTCGCAGATGGAAGAGAACAAACTACCACCACTCTCTGAAGAAATACATGCTGAAGACTTCCTCCATACCCCTTAACGAGCTGTACCCTCCGCTCATCAACCTGTGGGAGGCTGACGGTGAGAAGGACAAAGATGGCTGCACCGAGGGGAAGCCTTCCCCTGTTGACACAACACGTAGCTATTACATGTGGTGAAGCTTTAGTAAGGAGGCCTAGCTGCCTCTCCAGCAGCACAAAAAGACACACTTTTGCCATTTTGGTGCAAAAGTTGAATAAAGTTGCAAATGTTTTTTGTATTCTCAGCTTTGCTAATAAGAGGCAGAGTGATCAAGGACAGGATTTTTATTAGTATAGCGTATCGCCTTTGTTTGATTCTTCCCATCTCTTAATCGTTTTGGACTCCCTGGGATGGCAGCTGTATTTAGCCTCTAGGTTGTCTTAGTTGCTATGCTCTGTTTCTGTGGTGCATTTTTTGACTCCCTTTCTTTTGGGCAAATAATCCAGCAGCAGGGTCATCTTGCAGCATTATTAAGTAGAGATCAGTGTTTCTTTCTCTGTTTGTAAAACAGGCCATTTGTTGTACACTGATAGATAACAGAGTTTGTATTAACTTCAATTAAAAAGCTGACAGTGGGGTTTATACTTGTTAAACTGTCTGCTGAATGTTAGCAAATGTGCAGTAATGTTGTATCAACTATATGTTTAAACTTTCTGATTTAAATTGCAAGATAATAGGATTTTAGTTGGCTGATAAATGTGATGGTAGTGCTAGAAATACAAATGTTTGTTAAAATATTTCATCTTTTTTACTAAGGTGCATTAGAAACTTTTCAACATTCCCCATTTACTCACATATTTTGCTAGGTATTCTTTTGCTAATTGCTTAGTTTATTATTTTCAGATGCAATGTGTATCCCGAAGAAGTCAAAATAAATCATTTTGACTGTTTTGCAGATATATGGTCTTTTTTTCAATTTGTTCCTGTCCTACAGTTATTTTATCTTTTCAGTTTAGACAGGCACTCTCACCCCACTGAAGCCTGCTGCTGGTTTCATGTGGATTCAGGCACAGAGAGGAACTTAAACCCATCTCAGTTCAAAACAGACTCAATCAGCTTTACACTATCACAGTGCTGAACCAGCCTTACAGAGCTTAATCTGTGTTAGCTTAACTTCTCACCATGGGTATGTACAACCATGTACAGTACATACAGTAAACTCTTGAAACCATATATTAGATACAGTATTTGAGCATGTGCTGCACTCTGGTGGATGCTGTTCACCACAGCTACATATTGAAACAGTTGAAAATAATGATAAACGATGAGTGATGATAAAGCATCTAAACCTGAAGTCTTCCACATGTAAACTAACATAAACCTTTTGAATCAAATCAAGACAAAATGTGTTTTTTAGTTAGTTTTTCTTCTTTTTCTATGAGCCGAGAAAATCGAGTCCTTTTCAGACAAAGAAATTACAGTCAAAATAAACAAAGGAATCCAGATTAATAAAATCACAAGCATACATACACACACACATTTAAAATAACTACAGTAACCCTAAATGTACTGTAATTATACATTAAGAATTTACTTTGAGTTAATCACAACCAGCCCTTCGATGATAATAACAGCCAATAAGATTTCTGTTCACATTTACCGTATAAGATCACACTGATGTTTGCTGCTCAAAAGCTCTGACTCAGCAGAAACGCTGACTTCAGTTATTCAGGTGTCTCTCATCTTTGCTGACAGGTGTAAAGAGAGCGGAGATGAGAAAACAACCTTTTCTATTCATTTATTTAAAAAAAAATAAAATCACTAGAATATATTTGGAAAATGTAAGGATTCTGAGAATATCTTAGTAGGGCATTCTCAACTCCAGTCAATTTGAATGGCTTTTAAATCCATTTCAGAGGCATGGTAATGCGATGGCATGTAAACAGTACTGCACTTTAATTTCCAGTAGCTTCCAGTACTGGAGTTAGGGGGCAGCTGGGGCTTGTGTTCAAAAGTCATCGTTGGTCTTGAGAGGCACAGCGAAAACCGAGATTAGAGGCTGAGCTGTCCGGAGTGTTCTGGCTTCGGGCTGCACATCGGTATCTGTAACAGTAAGACTGGAAGAAAGAAGAGAGAAACATTTACTGTCAATAAATTAATTTTTCTCTGGAATCTGGTCTGTAACAGTGTTTAAAAAACACAAATTATGGCAGCACATTCAGTGTAACACTTCTAATTACTCACTGCTTCTGAGAAAAGCTTACTTTATTATTCATCTTGTATTTAGTCTGTGTATATCCCCAAAGCATGTGTGACTGTTGCCCTCTCCTCCCTCACATGGTTTATTCACATAAAACAAACAGACCTCTGTTCTTAGTACTTATTTTGTATGCAATTAGTCAGATTCCCATGTCAACCAGTGCCTGTGGCAAACAAACAGGAATGGTCACCAGTGGGTGGCTCAAGTGGTGCTGCAGATAAAGTAAATGTGTTGGTCTGAGTTCTCTTGTAGTCTCCATAAACGTTATGACATAATTTTTTTCTTAGCGTCTTATCCTGCCTGGTGACTGTGCATGCACTGGCACAGAAAGTACCTTAGCCTCACATACTGTGCCAGAAATCAAGTGAAGAAAAACAGAGACCTCCCCAACTTGTTTTAGAAATGCTGATGTTTACACCACTAGTGAGGGCTGGCTTGTTTTCACTGATCTACTCTCATCACAACCCCACCCCGCTGTTCACAAAAAACAGCCTACAAAACAAGCCATTAAAACAGCTTTAATATATCATTAAGCATTTAGATTGATGTTTCTAATTTCACTTTTGACAAGCTAGACTTTGAACTTCATCTATTGATTTACTCTAAAGAGAATAATTAGCATCAAAGTGCTCAGGTGCTTGTCTTCTTTACCTTGTGGCACATGTATGACCCTCCCTTCTTCACTTTATCTGTGCCTGAAGGTGGACCTTTCTGAAAGGGGGGAGGAGGAGGAGGAGATGAAAAAATATCAAAGGAAGCGTGAACCTGGGAAATTCAAATGCACAGTGGTAATGTGTTCTTACTGGGTTGTGTTGCTGGTCTGTGGTGTGATGCACAGCCCACCAGTCTGAGGTCCATTCCCATGCATTCCCCACCATGTCATACAGGCCAAAGCCATTGGAGGGAAAAGACATCACCTGTAGGATATACAAGAAAAACATACCACATGAATGCAGGTTCTACTGAAGAATTTTATTAGGACCAACTATTAAGAACACTGTTTATTCAAAAAAGCATGACTCTATACTGTATATATGTTCTATGGCTGTATGTACTACTGTATGTGCATATTTTATGTTTGGGCATGTGACAGAAAGACAGATGTGCAGCTGTGGCTCAGGAGGAGGAGCAGTTGTCCCCCAAATGGAAGGTCGGCGGTTTGATCCCCATTCTCCCCAGTCTACATGTTGAAGTGTCTCTGGGCAAGACACTGAACCTCAAGTTGCTCCCGATGGCCATACCAACGCTTTTCAGGGACAGCACCATCATCAGTGTGTGTGTGTGTGAGCTGGCGCAGCAGATGGCTGCCTCAATTCTGTACCAAAAACAAATTCCTTGTGTGTGTACATACTTGGCCAATAAAAGTGATTATCATTTTAACTTGGTGTGCAATCAGGGTTTCAGGTAGTTTCATCTGTTCTTCATTGTTTTTTCTACTGACTCATATACTGCTGAGACAATTTTCCAGTCTCCTGTGGCTTAAATCAGACAACAAAAAAAGCAGGTAGGATTATAATAATTATACTGTATGGTGTTATCATAATGATGAGTAGTAAATATAACTGCATTTTGAAAAACTCTGAGTGCACACCTTCATGATTGATGCTTCTAAAATTGAGGCTTTAAAGCTCCCCCTGTGGAGTATGAGACTGGATTAATATTATCTAATGGGTTGTTCTTTGGAAGTCCTGAACTCTTGGTGTGACTTTATCAACTTCTGAAATGAGCTCTTATCTCCAGCACCTTTCATTTCCTGGAGACTCGATAGGCGGTGGCTCATTTATAAATCTGTTTCCGGTTTTGTGACAATGGCTCATTCTTCTTCCTCACCAACCTGAAATAAGAACCTAACAAGCCCAAACTATGGCATCTCTCTGACATACAGGTGAGGTTTTGATGTATCCATCCTCTCCGGAGTTATGGCTGGGGAAATCCCCTTGCCAGAGGTTGGCGTAGTGTTGTCCTTTAGGGTTCAACTTGTTTCCCCAGGGATAAAGTCTACATGCAAGAGAAGCAGAACAGCAGAACAGGAGATTTCTGGACACACGCTTTACATACAATACTACAAATGCACATAACCAAACATACTTGCATATTTTACAATTTCTTCATTCGTAAACAGCACACCTGTCTCTGAGGCCACCCCTGCAGGCATATTCCCATTCAGCCTCTGTAGGAAGTCTCTTGCTGGCCCAGGAACAGTAGGCGACAGCGTCCATCCAGGACACATGAATAACTGGATGGTTCAGCCTACAAAAACAAGTTTAAAGTTCATTACTGAGCTGGCATTAGACTGATCATGATTGGCCTTTGACAAACTATAATAAATAAAAGCAACAAAAGAAAATAAATAAAAGTAAAAATAAAACATAGACTAAGATTTGCATTGTGATGGATATTCAATATTAACATGACAAAGAATATGTATTTTTGAAAACATTGAGGGTTTTAGTATATCGAGTAGTGGGGTCTTTCTACCTGTCTGTGATGTTGGAGTCTGGCCCCTCAGGGTGCCTCCAGCTGGCCCCTTTGACCGGTAGCCACCAGGGGGCAGCAGCCACCTAATAACAGTAAAGTTAAAGTTATTTTTGTTTCACATGATTTGAGTAGTGGGCAGCACAGCGGCGCAGTGGTTAGCACCGTTGCCTCACAGCAAGAAGGTTTTGGGTTCGGGCCCCACCCGGGACTTTTCTGTGTGGAGTTTGCATGTTCTCCCTGTGCTTGCGTGGGTTCTCTCCGGGTACTCTGGCTTCCTCCCACAGTCCAAAGACATGCAGCTTAGGTTGATTGGTGTCTCTAAATTGCCCATAGGAGTGTGTATGGTTGTTCATCGATGTGTTAGCCCTGCGATGGATTGGCGCCCCCGTGACCCCGTTCAGGGACTAAGCGGTAGAAAATGAATGAATGATTTGAGTATTCTCTTACATACCCCCTTCAGGGTTCATCTAGAATTGTCAGTGGTGTAGTGCAATTGTACTAATGGTTTCCAGTTTGCCATACTAATGGGCACACAGCACCTTCTCTAGCACATGCTCAGGCTGCACATGACAGCTGAGATGAAACAGTAAATCCCCTGCTGTCTGGGTTTCGTCTGTGGGAGGTCTGCTGTGTTCTGCCTCTCACAAGCACATTCAAAAGTTTTAGAAAACTATATGTCTTCATGTCTATGTAAAGCTAAAAATATGTATACTTATGTATGCACAACCCAAGGCTGGTATGTTTTCTGGGTACATGATATTACAGTATAATACTCTATAAATGTTTAAATAAATCAAGGTGGGAGAAAGATTAAAATATCATATGAACAAAATGACAGACACACAATGTAGAAATAAAGAAACACACACACAGGCTATTTGATTATATATTCTCAATAAACACGTAAACATGGTCTTTTATTCTTGTTTTCTAAAAGCGTTGCCTCACATGGCTTTATGTGCTTGTTTTTGTTGTTGTGTTTCGCCGCATCCACCCTGATAAAAACTGGATTTCATTCAATGCTGTAGGCACATTTTGCTGTTGGCAATGACTATATGTTAACTTAGGAATATTTACTTTATTAAATGGTCTGTATTTTATATAGCACTTTCTCACA